GTCAATAGGCTTTTAGGCAAAAAAGTGAGCCAACCTAAAAGTGTTCAGCATTGGCACTGTGCCACTGCCACTAAGCTTCTCCCTCAACGATACTGTCCAACTGAGCCCATCATCCACTTGTCCAATTAACGAGTGGTTTCTCTCTTGCAGCCACCTTCTTATCGCTCTATTTCTTGGAAAACTTTTAAATTTTTAATTGGCTAAGCTGCATTATTGATAAGAACGTACGCGCCTATTTCTTCTGCCGTGCATGAGAGCATTACTTGGTGGTTAGGCAGCCTCACTGCACTGCCTCATCACGGCCAGCTGGTAATGGTGGTGGAAAGTGGCACTTATTATTGGCCACTGCCAGGCCAGGTACTCGTGAGGCGTCTTCACAGAGCAAGGCCATTCGTTTGATTTATCTTAGACCTAAAACTGGCTCCAGATGCACGAGCGCATCCAAGCATATTTGTGCAAATTGTAGGCTGTGTGCGGCTCTGCTGTACAAAGGGACTCACAAACCTCGCCGCTGTGTCATTGTGACTGCTCGACGAACGGTGCCTCCTCTACCTACTTTTGTACTTTGCTTTTCACTTCTGCCAGACACATTTCTCCTGTTTGCAATTTTGTATCTGACACACACACATAAAGCAAAACTTATGTTCATCTTGTGAGACTCTTTACTTGCACTCCTGACACATTGCTCTCTTTGTAAGTAAAACTTTTATGTTAGCTGGGTTACCAACCTACTACAGGAACACGTTTTCATTTATTTTTATTCTGCCATTTCTTCCATTCATTGTTCTGTTTTTCTTATTTGTCTCATCTGTCTTTCTAGTTTCCGTTCTTTTTAGCTGGTTTCTGTTAATTAATTAATTGATGCTACAATTGTTCACTCACTTTGGGTGATGTCTTTTTCAGTGTTTCTGTGTGCTTCTTATCAGTATCTCGACTGTCACAAGCAATGTGTTTCTGTTGTTCATAGGTTTTCATTTCACAGTCCTTGCCGACAGTGCCCACAAGGCAAACCAGCAAGCTAGCCAGAAGAATGGAATTGAATTTTTACAAGCTTGTGGGCACGCAAAAAGTGCTTTGATTTATTTTCTAGCTGGCCCCTTATTCAATGGAATGCTTTTACTGTTGGCCTACTCCTTGATGACATTCTTTTGTTTTTTTAACTTTTTTCTTGCCGCAATGAGACTATACTAAGCTGTTGAATGACAATTTGCTTTCTGATGCACAGATGAAGAAATCAAGTGGAGAGAGCGTTTGTACGTCTAGGTCTAAACTTGCTTCCTCCCATCTGACCAAATGTCAGGCCGTTCAAACACTCTTGAGCCTGGCTCGGTGCAAACAAAACCGGACACTTGTCTTTTTTGCCCGGAGTGTCACACTTTAGGGAGATCAATGGATGAATTAAAATGTCAGTAAAGTGTCGCCAAAGTGGTGACTGCTTGACTGCGTGTCCAGTGTGCCTAAAGATCAGGCGTTGGTGTTTTTGTCAAGTATTTCACTCTTTTCAAGGCATTACTGTGCCCTAGCTGTCGTCCAGTGTCCCTCGATGTTAATAATTCATTGCATATGCGTCCGTCAGCGAACAGCTTCCCGGTGCTAATTGAATAATTCTGTTTTGCAGCACTTAAGTGCACCAAGTGTGTGTGTGTGCGAGAGAGTGAGTGCTTCGCCCTTGGAACAATTGTGGCCTCAGATGATGCTGTTTTCAGTCTTCAGCACTGTGCCCCAGTTGAGGGCACCATCAGCGGCCATCAATGGCAGCCATTCCTGTCCGCTTTCTCGCGTCCTGGGCGGCCCCTGGGCGCGTGATTGCACTGCCGAGCGATGTGAAATGGAGACATTGAAGCAAATTACCACAGCCAGCTGATAACAACCTGGCCGACTGATGAGTCGATTTGTATTATTGGACGGTTCAACCAGACAGGCAGAGAGTGCTGCTCTGCCGTGTCTGTTCCAATTCTCTTTAGTGCCAGAGTCTGGGAATACTGCGACCAGTGTGGCGACCACTCTCTCGCTCTCTTCACCCTGATCACGCTTTTCCATTGGCAATTGCATTTGTACTTTTTTTCTGTTTTTGTGTGTGTGTGTGTTTATTTTTCTAATAGTTTGATTCAATAAAACTTAAATGTTCTACATTGGCCTACGGTACACGGTAACTTCTTCCCTTGCATTCTCCTGCCAAGCTTTCTGCTAATCTAATTTTAATGTAATCATCGGTGGGCAGAAAGACAGGTCTAGAGAAGTGTGAGCAGAATGGACTGCTGCCCCATTGACGTACGATGGCTCACGTAAACCGACCCTTAGTGAGCCGATAGATTTTGCCTGAGAGTGCCAGAGAAGTGGAGTGTGGCACGCAGAGACCAGTGTTTGTGCCTCGATCGCCTGTTCGCCGTTTGTCGGCCAATTAGTTAGTCTGCAGTTGATCGATTCACTCACTCTCCAAGGGCGGACACTGATTAGTGCTGAAGCTGATGGGTGTCGCCAGTTGATTACACCGTCCGCACTCTAGCTCAGTGTTAAATAAACAGCGGAGACTCTGATTTCTCCGTGATTCGGCAGTGATTCTTTCAGCACGCTATGGGCCTTTGCCTCATCTGACCTGCCGTGGCTCAATCATCAGTGGCACATCAGCGTGAAGAGCTGTAGGTCTTTTTGGTGCAGTCATTTCACAGCTCTGCAGCAAAGCTTCACTAATTCAACTTGATTTGTTGGCATGTCTTGACGCCACTTTGCACGTCAGCTCCATTCAGAGACGCCTCTCTTTTTCTGGCGGTTTTTAGAAAATGAAAAGACCCGTCAATGTGCAGCTGCCGAATCGGCTCATCCTGATCAGCGGCAATTACACTGGTAACAATTAGCTGCCTTAAAAAACTTTCTTAGGCGCACTCTTCTCGGTGCCACTTATAAATTGAATCATTCATAAGCAGCTTAGGAGGCTTTGTCTTGACGACGTCCTTCGGTTGCGAAGGAATTATTGAATGCAGCTTCCAACACCCGGTTTGCATTTGTTATCTTTTCATTGCTTCCTTATGTTTGTGGAATGTGCATTAAAACTGCAAATCTGCGCTTTTGTATGTTTTCAACGCTTGGTGGAATGAATAAACAAAGTTTCTTTCCATAAATAAGTCTTAATTAGATTCCTCGAATCGATTCTAGTAGGGCAGTCACTGAAATCGACCAGTCTTAACACCGCAAACCTCTTTCTCTAATGCACTGCATAAACTGACCTATGTTTTCATATGGCGCCGAAATGGAATCCAGTTCCTTAATGTAGTCAATTGAATTGAAAGTGCAAGTCAGCAGTGCTCCAGCAGTACCAGTTATGTGCATCTTCGCCCTCGCCATACTAATTTCCTCTCTTATCGTTTGTTTGTCTGCCCACTGCCCACAGCCTGAAGCGAAACTTGGATATTAAAACGCTAAACGACTTGATTGCACTACTAAGCAGCCTCACTGCCACTGCCACCACCACCACAAGCAGCGGTCTCCCGAACGGCCTCTCTCCCTTGGACCGCGAAGTGCTGCTGGGCAGTCTGGGCGCACCACTGACCGCCCTTGCCGACCTGTCGTCAAGTGGCCAATCAGCGAAGGAGAACTTTGTGCGGCATCTTCGAGTCCGCCAGTGGTCAGCCTGCCTGGAGCAAGATAAAGCGCACTTTTGGACATTCGGTATTTATAATGACATTTTCTAGATTTTTAAAGTAAACTTAGCCACACAAACACACACATACACTTACCATTTGGGCTTTACTTTGCTGTGCTTGGCGATATTAACGAGCCATCATTTGCGTGCCAGATTGAGCTTTCCAGCCACCGGCTCGCAGTAGATGGGACTTCACTTTCCTTTACTTTCCTTCACTTTACTTGACTCACTTCACTTCACTGGTACTCTCTGAGCAGTGCTGAGAGTGTTGCCTTGCCTTGTCATTCATTATTGATGACGACCTGTGCCTGGTCCGCCACCACTCTCTGGTCCAAATGGAGGACGCCTTCTGGCGCCCACTGGGCCGTTGGCAGGCTTCATTTATATTACCTCGCCACTGAGATGCGGCACTGTAGGCAGCGCTAAGTGAACAAAGCTGACTTTACCTTACCTTGCCACAACTGGCTCTTACCACCGCTTTCAATGGCGCACCAAGGCGCCAGTTGGGAGAAAGAGAGGGAGAAAGGGAGAGAGAGCAGCAGTCCGAAACAAATGACCATCCATTACTCATCGTGGCTGGCAGTGCACACAGCGCCAGGTACTGATTTGGGCTGCTAATTTGTGCTAAGTAAGCAAGGGCGAGCTGAATGTGCCTCACTACAAGCACTGCAGTCAAAGGCAACTGAATGGCTTTATAAAAGCCACTGCACTCTTTTCAATTGCTTATACTACCCCCAACTAGACGCCCACATGTGTCTCCTGGCGACTGCCGAGAGTCCACAAACTGCAGCGATAATGTATACTGCTGCAATGTCAGTTTTTTAAGCAGATTTCTTTACTTTTTAAACCATGACAATGAAACGTAAAAAGTGTCGCAGGTAGGATGGTGTGATACAAAAAATGATTTTGTTCTCGATGAATCTTCAGCTGGTCGAATGATTCCTGTACGACCCGTGAGTTACAGTTTAATTATATAAATAGGCAATAGCCATTGTTGTGATAAATGGGAGATATAGGATCAGTGCAAGTGTTGAAAAGAAATGAAACTTGGAGTGATGTGATTCTATAACTACTCAAAATATTAGCTAGAGTAATTATTTGAAACAGTGATCTGCTACAGTAAAGAAAATCTGCTAAATGAAGCTAAGTGAAATGATCAGTTTCTAAAATCCTGTGATTGAATATAGTGTTCTGGTGTTAAAAAAATTAAAGGAATATATGTGTTTGCCAGAGAACAATGATGGCGGCGAAGAAATACGTTGAAAATGAAGACAAGAACTGTTATAATTAAAAAGTCAATAGTTAGTATACCAATTGTTTATCACAGTTCGAAGATTATTAAACTTACCTTAGATGAACTTTAATAATAAAGATGCTTCTTCTGCTTGAACATCTCATTGGTGGCAGCAGTAATTGGCGTAGAATAGCCGTCCAGATTGGCAATCTGCAGAGCGTAGGTCAAGTCGCGACGGATGTGATCGATGGGAATCTCGCGAAGAAGAGTTGAGTCTCGAAGGGCAGCAGCCTTATTCTGAATAATGGAATTGGTAACGGGCGAGCTGGCGATGATGTCCACAATGTCCTTTGGATCGATGCCCATTCGCTCGGCGATGCTGACCGATTCAAGTAGCGAGCCCAAGATGTTGCCGTTAAGTGTAGCAATGATGACATTCATCTGGGAGGCTTGTCCAATTGTCTCGCCAACGTAGAACACATGGGAGCACAGTTTCTCAAAAGCGGGAGCGCATTCGTCAAAGAGCGATTTGTCGCCAGCAATTACCGACGTACATTTGCCTTCTTCGACAGATTTTGAAGAAGTGCAAATGAGCGGAGCCTCAAGATAGCGGCCACCATTCTGCTTGATGCCATGCTCAATGTCCAATGAAGTACCGCGGTCCAGTGAGGTCAACTCAACGTATGCCTTAGAAGAATTAATTTCGTTCACGACGCCACAGTTGCCATAAAAGATCTTTGAAGAAGCATCAGCATCGGATAAGCAGCAGAATGTGATGTCGGACTCTCGCACAACGTCACCAGGAGTCTTGACCACTATGGCTCCCATGCGCTCAAACTCTTTGCATTTTGACGGAGTTCGGTTCCAGATGGTACAAGGGTTGCCAAATGTCATCATGTGCTTAAGGACTTGCTGGCCAATAGTACCGAGACCAATAAAGCCGTACTTGACTTCGGGGCACTTCGCAGTCTGCTTGCTGGTACGAGCCTTAGCTTTCTCGCGCTTATCTTCAATGACACGCAATGAGCTGTCATTTAATTCGTCATCCTCCGATTTAACCTCACCGCCTGATTTGGAAGGCGAGGAATTGGCTCGTTTCTTTGCGGATTGAGCCGGTGATTCCACTTTAACTCGTTTGTTTTCCGCTACATCCGAAGAAGCACTCTTTCGGCGCGGCTCGCTGCTAGAGACTTCGGCCGAAGAGAGAGTGCTTTCAAAGCTTCGCTTTTCCTTCTTAAAAGGAGTTCGGCTATAGTCTCGCTGAACACTAGTCGGAGTCGAAGCAGCCGGGGCCTTTTTAGCCTTAAATACAGCCTTATCGGTTTGAGGAGTGCTTGGCTCGGCCTTTACGCTCGGGGTCTTTGGAGTTGAGGGTAGCTCAAATGAAGGCCCATTCTTGTTGGCGAGCTTTTCGTCAGCCTGGGCCACGGCCTTCTTATACTTGGCGGTGCTCTTAGCAGAGACATACGTGCTTCGATACTCAATATAGTCTTTGACATTATCGGGGGTCGCCCATCCACTTGAGTTAGAGTCCGGGAAAAAGACAAGAACGCCATTTTTCGGACGTTTACCATAAGCATTATCAGCTTCAGTCGGAGTCTCGGCAATTAGTCCTGGCCAATATGGATAGCCTTTAACTTTAGCCCAGACCATATGCCCAACATCGAAAGAGCAAGGCTTGGAGTTTGGCGTTTTTGGCGTCGACATGGTTTCAGCCAAACTTTGCAACCGAAATCTGCAAAACAAACAGAAAGTTAAGAGAATGTAAAAATGAAAGTGGTTTGTCTGATTAAGACTTGACTATGAAGTCTGATCTAGTTTCAAAAATAACAAAAAGTAATGCGATTGTCAGTGAATTAGAAACGGGTGCCCTCAATGGCGAGGCAAACTGACACGGCAAACGGCAATGACAACAAGAGAGAAGAAGAGCAGAGAATTCATATTTAAGTAATTGTCTTTCGAGTAGCACTTACCTTACGGAATCGGATGTTGTCGTTGATGGACTTTAGCGGATTATTCTGAGATGTAGCCTCAGAAGTCGTCCTCCTTCAAACAGAACTGACCGGTGAACACAAAAGAAGTGTGTGAGTGGCCTGCCAGACACAGAAAAAGCGCGTACAGCGAGCCGCTCAGCCGAGCTCGACGCCCGTTCATTGAGTACGTTACTTAGTTTTCTTATTTTGCGTTTTGGAAAATGTTGGCGAAGAGCATCCCCATTCAGTTGTGTGACAGACTCTCACCTAATCCTGATAACATGTTATCAGGACTTGTCAAAACTTTACTGTGTCTCTAGTGCGATCTTCATTTGCGATGGTTTCGTGTACTTCGCGTTTGTTGTCGTCTGTGATATTCAACTTTAATTCTAGTCAGAAGACCTATTGAACAAGTTTTGTTATTTTCAACCATTTTACTGTACCAAGATTTGTTTACCCAATAGCCACTTATATTGCTCTCATTTGCTTTGCCAGCGATACAATAAAATTTAATTTGAATATAAAGTAAATTGACAAAATGGAATCTCTCAAAAGGTGGATCAGTGATAATATAGGTAATTTTTCAAGTGATTTTAAAAGATTATCATGAAAATCAGGTTACATTGCTTTAGCTTTATTCTTGCTCAATTTGCATTATTATCTATTATTATTCTAATTATACTTTTATTCTAATTTATAACAGGCACTTTACTTCTCACGGCGCTAGTGCCAATCGGTGTCATAGAACTATTCAAGATGATATCTAACTTTCCGTCGATTTTCGCAATCAAAGAAGGCAAATGCGGTTTTCTCACTTTCATCACTGGCAGTTACCTGGCACCACAGAACTGCAAAGTTATTTTTGACTGGAAATCACCCACAACAGTCTCAAATGTTTCTACATTTTCAATTAAAGTGCGTATCATATGTTTTCTATTCAGTTTCTAATGCAGCTTTCCTTTACACAACTTTAGTTTTTTCAACGCAACTATCAACCGTACCCTATCACTCCTGAAGACCAGCTTTCGGTGCACATTCAAAACGGCTCTCAAGTTGTGCCTTGTTCAGTTGAGTTCGGTGATCTCAACCCCAGTTTGGCAAATGTTGCCCGTGTGTCTTTTTCCACGAAAAAAGCGGGCAACTACACGATTCACATTGTTATTGGCAGCACCTTGACGCACATACGAGGATCTCCCTTCACTGACATTCAATTTCAACCACTTTCGCCGTCGCCATTTGTATGTTTTTACTTGAATGTTATGGCTGTTTTCTTAGTATTTTGTTTTTTTTCTAGGAAACCGCTTTTGTGAACCACTGCTCTACGGTGGTTTGCACCGTGCAAAACTTTCACGCACTTATCGTTGAAATGCGTGATCGTTTTGGCAATCTTTGCCTCTTGGATGATGCAGAAAATGAAAAGTTTGATGCATCTGAGGATTTCACCGTGACAATAACCGAAGTTGTAAACGACAAGAAAGTTGACGCCCTCTACTACTGGCAAAAAGAGCCCAGTGAAAAGTCCCGCGTCACTTTACTGCTGTTGTTGCAGTCTTCAGGCATCTACCATGCTCTGGTCTCATACAAAGGCTCACTTCTGAAGAACGGCGAATTCAGCATTGTGTGCTTGACCGCACTGGAGACGGAGGCCGTTCGCNTCTTCAGGCATCTACCATGCTTTGGTCTCATACAAAGGCTCACTTCTGAAGAACGGCGAATTCAGCATTGTGTGCTTGACCGCACTGGAGACGGAAGCCGTTCGGAAGTGCACCATCTCTACCAGCAAAAGTTGTAACTTCAGTGCCAAACTACTGCCTTCTACTGGGTACCCGTACAGCGGCACCAGTAGTCCTTCACTGACCAAATCGAAAAACGTCATCTGTTATATCTCTCCGAAGCAGCTCACAATCAAGGAGTTCATCCTACGAATAATCCCCAAACGCATCACCTCATTCCGCCTTTCGCCATCTACAAAGTTCTACTTTGTTCGCAACTACAATCACGTACTGAAAGGCAGCAGCAGCTGCAGCAGCGCTGACATCTTCTCCAGTGCTTCATCAGACTTTGACATCGCCTCATTGTCTAGTGGTGGAGGTGCTTCCTTTTCAAGCGACCACTGCCCGAATGCTGACCAGTTCTTAATAATTGACGATGGCTCTCAAACACCAGTGGAGCTGATGACACCTGAGCGCAACATTATAGTGGCCGTCTTTACGTACTTTTTGCTGAGCAAAATTGGCGGCAGCGAAACATTCCACGATAAGCAGGATTTCTTCAACTCCGAAGTTCGTCGATACCACGCCAAGAGCATCCACACTCCGGGAAGGGTTCACTTGAAAATTGATCGAAGTGACCTGCTCGAGTCCTCTATCAAGGCCACTCGCTCCTTTAGCATCTCTGACTGGTGCAAGCGTTTTGAAATTGAATTTGACGGCGAGATTGCTCTCGATTTCGGCGGAGTTCGACGTGAATGGTACGAGTTGCTGTGCAGGGCGCTATTCGAGCCCCAAAACTCCCGAAATGACGTGGCTCTATTCATGCGCTTTCAAAATGACAAACAAGGTCTCATTCATCCGAACCCGAACTCTAATGCCCGACTGTTCTACTATGAGTTTGCCGGTCGAATCGTTGGAAAGAGTCTGCTAGACACTGCGCTGGGCTCAAGCAGCAAGTGCTATGTCAAAGCTCGGTTCACTCGATCTTTCCTCGCACAGCTGATTGGTCTTCGAGTGAACTATCGCTACTTTGACAAGGACGACCCGGAGCTGTACGTGCAGAAAATCAAGTTTATCCTTGAAAACAATGTCTCTTTGCTGGATCTCTTTTTCGTGGAAGAGGAGTACGAGTCAGGCAAACTGGTGCGCACCATTGACCTGATTCAGCAAGGTTCGCGAACTCGAGTCACCGAGGAGAACAAATCGCGCTACCTTGACGCCCTGGCTCAGTACCGCCTGTCAACCTGTGTGAAGGAGCAAGTGGAAGCATTCCTCAAGGGACTGAATGACCTCATTCCCGATAATCTACTGTCCATCTTTGATGAGAACGAACTTGAACTACTTATCTGCGGCGCTGCCACCTACTCAGTGTCTGACCTGCGTCTCAACCACATTGTCACCGGCTCAACCTATGATTTCCAAAGAGTTGTCGACTGGTTTTGGCGCTCGGTGAATGCCTTTTCCGACGAGGAGTTTGCCCGTCTGCTGCAGTTCACCACCGGCTGCTCCCACCTTCCTCCTGGCGGCTTTGCCGACCTCAATCCACGCTTTCAAATCAGCTCCTCTCTGACCTACGCGACACTGCCCACGGCGCACACCTGCTTCAACCAAATATGCCTACCTGATTGTGACTCCTTTGACGCTTTTGACCGCTCCTTGCGCATTGCCATCACCGAGGGCAGTGAAGGATTTGGCTTGATCTAAAGGTCATTTCGCTTCTAGTTACCCCCCGCCCCTCGTGCATTTCCTATTCTGGTCATTCGCTATGTACAATGTACAGGCAAATAAAGTATCCGCTGTTATTCTTTTACTAAAGTGTGTAAAACGCTCCACGTCTCAAATTAACAAATGGCACTGACGAGTGCATAATCAAAATTGAATATCAGGTGAGCAAAAACAACAACTGCGTCTAATTTTTGACCACCTCGGTGTCCTCTTCCGAGAGCCATTGCTTCAGCAGTTTGACCGTCTCTTCGGTAATAAAGGGCAGCAGATGTTCATCAGCAAGGCCGTCATCCTTGTGCATTGCATGGTAAATGCTTCGCAGAAACTTGACGCCATTCGGGTTGAAGAGTGATCGCATCAGCTGCTCCAGGCATTGACGCACAGACGACATTTTGTCATGCTCTAATGGCAGGATGGGCCATTCTTGGGGCTTCAGCTGATGCAGACAGTCGACCACTAGGTGGGCAAGTTGGGAGAGAAACGATTGCACCAACTTCCAAGTGACACTCCCACGTTGGCAGTGCAGCTCTTTTGCAGGGGAACGCACTCTGGTCAACAGGTAGATTGCTTCGATGGCCACCGGCATGACCACTTCCTCTATCTGATCTGACTCGTAGCAGCCTAGCTCGTATGACAGCAGAGAGAAGAGTCGCTTGCTAAAGTTGAATCGTGTCTTGATCAGCAAGGGAATCCACGGCTTCAGACGCAAAAGGAAAACGCTTTGAGTGGACACTGAAAGGCTCTGAAAGATGAATATGATGTTTTCCAGAATAGACAATGGCTCGATAATGTAGCTTTCTCTATCAGACAAAACGGTTAGCAGTTCAGGGCCAGGATAGCGTCCGCNGTCTTGATCAGCAAGGGAATCCACGGCTTCAGACGCAAAAGGAAAACGCTTTGAGTGGACACTGAAAGGCTCTGAAAGATGAATATGATGTTCTCCAGAATAGACAATGGCTCGATAATGTAGCTTTCTCTATCAGACAAAACGGTCAGCAGTTCAGGGCCAGGATAGCGTCCGAAATACATGCTCACAAAAATGGGCGCCAAATCTTTGGACTGAACTTGCGAAGGCAGACACAATGATATCTCGTGGAAAACTTGCATTGCTGCATTGAGAAAACAAGGGGTTTTAGAGGGGCAAACAAAATACCTTTGCTCAAGCTTACCAGAATATCTGACGTTAGCATTCAGACTTTTTGTTGCTGCCCAGAGATAAAAATCCCGAACAAAGTGCCAGTAGCGGGCTCCCAAACAGAAGATAGCGCCGGGAAGTTTGTTGAGTATCTCCATTGAAGCTTCAGGGGCAAGTTCGCCAAACGAATTCACGTCAATTTGCCACTCAACAGAGAGATTTACCTTGATGGGAACTAATGACGAGTTTTCTCCAATTTGAAAGTCTTCCGTAATTTGATATCCTTTGAATCCAGAAATACTTGATTCAGTTATAACAAGTTGGTGGTATTCTGTGGTTGAGTGCTCATCATTTTCAGCGTCAACAAGTGCTAGAATCAATTTGAAATCAGGTTTCTTTTGATTAAACGAAATCTATATGGAAAAATAATTTTAAGTATGGATAACTAGTTAAAATAATTTGTGAAACTGTACTTACCGGCAGAGACAAAGAAAACTTGGCTCCTTCTTTCATTTCAAGATTGCCAAAAATGATGCGTCCGTTGCTGTCTTTCGGCAAGTTCTCTTCATTGCCATGATCATCATTTGCATTACCGTCAAAAGTCAGGAGCACTTTGAACTGCTTTTCACTTGAGCAGTGAGTGGCGTTTAGAGTGTTGAGCTGAATGAGTAGTTTGCGCTGGTAAAGCATTGCACCTTTGTACGATTTGCAAAAGACCCACTTGGACAGACCTCTGCTTCCCGAATGTTCCCAAAACTCGGGCAGTTTGTGCAACTTTTTGAAGAATAATGAGAAACGCTCAAAATATTGAGATAAATGATTGGAATTCTTCAGCCAACT